TGGTTGTGTGCTTGTGGTTGTGTGTTTGTTGTTCTGCTTGTGGTTGTGTGTTTGTCGCTATGTGCTTGTGATTGTCTCTTTGTAGTTGTGTTTGTAGTTGTGTGCTTGTGGTTGCGTGTTTGTGATTGTGCGTTTCTGGTTGTGTTTGTGGTTGTGCGTTTCTGGTTGTGTGTTTGTTGTTCTGTTTGTAATTGTGTGTTGAGGTCTGGCAGGGAACACTGGGCGTGGATGGTCGTGGTTGAGGTCCGGCGGAGGAGGACGAGGAGGAGGAGGAGAAGGAGGCGGAGGAGATGGGGCTGACATAAAATCTAGCAACCCTCACCTGACAGGTGGGGAAAAACACAAAAACACGGTCTCCATCTATTCATGATATCTTCAATCTTTACATGTAATGTGTCTGTAGCGTCTTCTTCCATCCCAGGATTCCCATCCCGCTGGAGTCTTGATCCCATCTCCCACCTCTTCCTTGGGTTTCGCCTTCTGTGTCGGCAGCGTCGGAACTGGCCGGTGGACTCCGTGGACCGCATAGTACTTGGCCCTCACGCTGTCAAGGCCCATCAAATCAATGCTTTCGGAGCCTTGCACTTTCTTGGAGACCCGGTCCTGCGCGGACACGGCGCCATATTACGTTGCACTCTTGGACAGATCTGCAGATCTCAGAGGGTGGTATTGTGGCAAAGGGCTGGGCATATCTTGTGTATGTACATCTGCGATTACTTCCAAGTTGGTCATCATGATGGAACTTTGCCGGTTGAAAGGCTTTCCTACGGACCTAATTACGTATATAGAAAGGGACAAAAATGGGACTATATAACTAACAAAAGAGCAGGTGAGCCAGGGTAAATCAGCATAAACAGGTTTTCCTTCAGTGATCAGCAATTAGTTGGCATTTGCAGGATGTACCGTACTTTGAACTGGAAGCATCTCGAAAGGCCCTGAGAAACCACCTGTCAAAACTGCAACATTGATGCATTAGCCCTTTCTTTGGAGGTCTCCTCACTGTGAGCGGTTTCTTGTCAGAACAGGTGCTCTTGGGAGATGTTTTTTTGTGCACAATGACACAAAACACAGTGTTTTACAGTGAAATGTGGCCCAAAAATCACCAAAGCCTAGGTTTGGAGCTAATTGTCTGGCTTAGCTTGTTCAAAGAAGGTAAGAGGTTAGAAGGTGCAATAAGTTTGATTGACTTCTATCAAGGCAACACGCTATATATTATAACTTATACTTACAATTAAGTACATGTCTTTTAGTTTTCTTGCCGTGGTTCTTGTTTCTCTTGGTTTGGACAAGATGCCAGCCAACTCATACTGCGATTAAATCTCTGTTATTTGGACGGCTTCTTGCCTATGATACATACAACTCTTCACTGCTTAAATAGTTGCTGTTCCAAGCCTGTTTAGACTAGGCAGAGCTTGCTGAACATCAAACAAGGTAAAACACATTATGGAAGAATAAAGGAATAATAGAGAGAGTCAATCACAACATGTAAAGCCTATTGGGAGCAATGCAAAAGCCTGTTGTGATCAGGGCAAAGTTGCTTAGGGGAGAGTGTTGAAGCTCAAGCCTGCATATCTGGTATCAATCAATCAGAGTCAGTATGTGGTGATGAAAGGGCAACCTTTCAAGAATCAAGACCAAACAGCTTCGACCGATAGCGACGGAAAAACGAATACAAATGACTAGGGAATTTTTGATATTGGAAAGAGTAAGATCAAGCTGATAGTTCGTCATTGGTACGAGTATTACACATTGATAGTAGGCAAACGAAGATCCAACTGTTAACTGTTGTCATTGACATTGCGAGATTGGGCACATGGAAACATATGCGCTATGCGCTTCGCCCCTGGTTTCAGAGCAGTTCTTGACATTTGGCATGGTGTTTGCAGTGTTTGCAGTGTTTTTGAAGGGGTTTTAGCTAGTGCGTGCTCTTCCAGGCACACCCGCTCTCTTTCTTTTCTTGTGGAGGGAACGTTGTCCTCAGGAGGTGGGAGCTGACTGTGCTGGGGCTACGGGGGTGTTCAGACTTGTTCAACCATCCACGGCTGGTCCTGGCTCATGTGGATTGTTCCGGGTCCAATGTCGAAGGAGCTGTCCCAAATATGTGCAATAATTCCTACAATATCTTTCCATACAAACACCTATAAAAAGAGGCAAACACCCAGAAAAGCTTTTGTGATCTTTTCTTTCCCGGTAAACGTGCTTGTACGGTGTTTCAAACGAAGCCACAAAAGATCACAAAAGCATCCACCCGTGCAGGCTGAAGAGTCTGAAGCACTGTCTCCAAGAGGAAAAAGGCACAAGCAGAAAGGGAAAGGCAAGGACCAAGGAGAACTCATGCATAACTTTGAACACCGGGTCTTATAGGTGATTCAGTGGATTATATATGTGTCCTGTTTCTTTCCTTTTCTCTCTGGTTGGCTGCAAGTGTAAGCAAGTTTTAAAAACATATAGTTACAATACCAATTGTGTTTTAAGGACATTTCATCAATTAAGGAACTTTAGGTTAAGGATCGTTTAATGAACTGTTCAGGCAATTAAGGAAAATTGATCACCTCAATGGCAGTTCAGGAAAATGAGTGACTTTAAGCGTGCATTTCCAAACGATTCCACCCTGCAGGCAAGCAGGCAAGCAAGTGAAGGACCCAACCAATGACCTTGAAATAGCCACCAGGCGTGCAAGCAACCCGACCAATGATGTAGGTTTTGTGTTCCGGCTGTCATGTTTCCGAACATGTTGGAAATCCTGTGCAGAGTCTTTCATACGACACTCCAAATGCAACAATGTCAAACTTCCATGTTCTCTCAGCAAGATCCGTCTCAGGGGTCAGTATACCAAGAGTACTGGATTCCGTTGCTTCTGCGACTCTGCGATTCCTGTTCTTTGGTCCCTCTGCTTGATTACAACGAAACACGAAAAGACTTGACCCTGATAAAGGAGGCCCCTCCCACCCGTCCCCGCGGTTCCAGCATCATCCAGTGTCCCACCTGCAGCTGCTCCGTGGCCGGCTCCACCTGAAACTGCTCCAGGAACTCCACGCCAGTGTCGTCGAGGAAGGCTCCCAGGCGCCGCACCAGGGTGCCGGGCGTCAGGCGGGCGCCAGTGAACTTCAGCCGCAAATCCTGGGCCAAGCGGATGTGATCGGGGAGTGGAGCAAATGTGGGAGATGCTGGGTGGGGATTACGTTGGAGGATGTGTGGGCGAGAGGTGTGGTGGAAGTGAAACGGTCTTGTTTAGGAAGTTTAGGGGGTTTCGACTCGTTGATGCTTGAGGGTTTTGGAGGCCTCATGGCGCTTCGGAAGACTTGTGAACACGTCTTTGGAGTCATCACGAAAGAGCGAAAGACCTCAATAAATAGCCTTTGGGATCTCGCCTGCCAACCCTGGCGGATTTCCCCATGGATCCACAGATCTTGGATGTTGGACTTAAACTGTTTGTTTGGCAATTGTTCGTCCATGTTCCTATCCCTTTCCTTATCCACAAGGTCCATCTTGGGGGGGGTTCAGCCTATTTCAATACATCACCAGCTGACTGATCAAGGCTCTGGTGGGCTGTATTCCCAGCCAGGAACTTGGCATTGGCTACCCTGGAAGCAAACCATGGCCTGGACAATGGCCTCTGGCGACAACCTCAGTGCCACCGTGCGGTCCAAAAGAAGCGCCGGGTCCACGTCGTGGCACCGTTCGTGGACCGGCGGCAAACATGGGAAGTACAGTCCCGTGCACTGGTTTGCTTTCGAGGTTTGTGACTGCCAAACCCAAACCAAACTTATCCAAACTATAAGCTAGAAAAGTTGAAAGCTTATTTTCCCTACGTAGTCTTGTACCTCTTTATTCAAAACTTTGGCCGTTTCCTCGGCCTTGCTTGCTTGAGCATTCAGTCGTGAGTGGTGACGTGACTCGACCAAATTGAAGGACTATATAGTTATTGCCAAGTTGTCAGAGGAGTTGCTGTTACTTTTGGCCACGCTTGGGTTGAATTGAGAAACCACCCAAAAAGCAAACGGAAGCAAGCGTGTTCAGCTGCAGCAAATGGTTTGGCAGGAGATGCGATTCCCTACAGGAAATGCGCTTCAGAAAGCGCGGCCAACAAATGTGCCTCAAAAGAAGACCCATGAAGATATACAGCGATTTCACCAGACGGGTTTGAACTCGTCAAAAGAATCACCGGTAGTGACGGGAAGAAGTCGAATCAATTGAGGTTCTATCAAAACCCCTAGTCCCTTATTGCCTGTCCCTTCATCTTTTGAATATACTTATTTTGCTTAGCGAATCTTCCGTGTCTTATTGCGAAGACGAAACTCACCGAATTCCTGACTTTTTACACGCACTGAATGATCAAATGCGTGTGTGTGTGTGTGTGTGTCTATAATATATAATTTCTATAATATATATAAAATCTCTCACTTGTGAGGTCTCAGCTCCCAAGCCACAAGGGTCGGTTGGACTTCATGCCCACGCCGCTAATCCAGCTGAACCCATGACCAAGGCCTTGGTCTGCGCGAGTTCTCGGGCAATTCGTTTACGTCAGAGGGCCGCAAACATGACATCTGGGGGTGACGCTTACGAGAGCCTTGGAGAGTAGAAGTGTCTAAATTCTCCGAGATCTATAGTAGAGTTGGCCTGTTTGCAACGCAGCCGTTTGAAGTGGCTCAATCTAAGGGCGGAAAGAGAAACAACCAGTACAATGCATTCGGTGCATGGGCCAAAACAGGTTAACGAACATGACCTGCACTAAGTTAAGGAAGGCCAACCATTAGCTCTATTGGACAGGTTTCAAATAGTTTTAACATTCTGGAATATTCCTCATATATTGGGGGCTGGAAACATCACCAATCTTCCAGCTAATCACACTGCATACTCAAACGTCGCGGGGCCACCGGTGGACAGGGCGCCGAGCCGACACGGGTTGTGACCCACCCAAGTCGACATGAGAAAAAGAGCATCCAAGAACATGCTTTAAAAAAAAACACGATATGTTACGAGTATTGAAGCAATAAAAAGGAACGTGTCTCATATAACACGTTTTGTTCAACGTGTTTATTTCTTCTACTGATTTAACAAACACACGCTCCAGTATGTTTTGTTTCCTTGTCTTCAAACACTTCACCCTCTTTTCGGTTGAAACGAGGCACTTCACCTTCTGTGATTCACGAAGGCCTCCACTCACCTCCCTCCTACTTTGCTGTCCAAAATGCCCTTCTTCAGCAACTTGCAGGTGCCAGGGCAGTCCTTCAAGGTGCATAGGGCGTCTGCTGAGGCCGCCACACTCCTCGGTGGCTTCAAGCTTAACAATAAAGCAAACAAAAAAACAGCGAAGCCTTTGGGACAAAAAGATCATATAAGGAGATAACTAAAGATCTTTAATGTTGACACCAGATTCATAATCGTTGATCCGTCGATCATACCCCCAGGTCAGAAGGTTCAATCACTGTGGTCACCTACACCTTTTGGAACTTTCCATCTCGCTGTGGTCAAACCTTACACCACTCAAAAACATGTGTTGAGGAATACCGGCTGAGCTGGTAGATTCCATGTCTGTCCTAACTGCTAATCTGTGGCCTTGGTGCTTCTCTTTCTGGGGAGATTTGAGATAAGTCCTCATTTACGCTCATGCATGAGTTTCCTACCCCTCTCGCAAGAACCTCTTTGTGTGTTTCTTGCCACTCAGATAGTGCTGCAGTGTCTTCTCATCTGTTTAAACAAAGGTCCAGGTAGTGGTTCACATGGGGATGGACTAAATCATGTCGTCCCAACCTGATCTTGAATCCTGGCTGAACAGTGGGCACGGAGAAGCAGCTTTTGATGAATATGTCCGCGTGAAAACATGATCGAAGGTGCTGTCACTGGAATGATACTGGAATATACCACTCTCAGAACTTAGCTCAAATGCTAAAGTCTCTGATTAAGACTATTCATGCGCCTACATCACGTGTAAACCGTTGTAAACCGCAACTCTAGACTTGAACAGCAAGTATCCACCCTTCATTCAAGGACCTCCGAGACTAAACCGAGACGCTCATTGGCGACGTTGGGCATCTGCAGAAGTGCACAGCCGTAACGCTGGGCCGCCCAGGCTGCCGGGCCGTCCACACCCTTGAAGCTCACCTGCCCGGACTCCGTGCGGGATCTTCTCAAATATAGTTCACTATATGTAGACTGCTCCAACAAGGAGCCAGGAATCCTTTCCCTTGTTCCCTAGAACTCATCTCTCCTCCCAATCAAAGAGAGTTCACCCCCGAGTTCACCCGCCAAAAAAACAAACAGTTCCCCACTCAACCCACCAGCCCTTCGCTGGTGACAGCCACAACGAGCTCCCTGGAGCCGCGCCTTCAGCTCCTGGGGCCTCGCCGGAGGCCATAACGAGCTGCGCTCGCTGCGCTCGCTGCGCTTGCTCGGCGGCTCTGCTCGAAGAGAGATGCTGAAGGTCACCGGTTCCTCCAGACCTCGATGCTGTGGAGTGGATATGACCGGTTGGAAAACGTCATGACGTTGTAGGGAAACCGGTCAGCCCAAGTTTTCGATGTGTGCTTGAGGTAAAGGATGGTTTAGGAATGTAGCTTGCATTCAGTTTAATTAGGACCTTGTTCTACTTCGTGCGATATGGTTAAAATCACTTATGCAGTAACCACCACTCCCGAAACTTGGTTCAATCCATTTCAATCATTCGTGAGACTAACAAACCCAATCATGGCCCACCTCGCAGAAACTCATGAGGGACGGTCAAAACTCCTTATTCTTCTTCAACGAAAACAATGGAAGTCATCGGTTTTGAGTTGGACCTTATCGTTTTACAGTGTTTTGACTTCGCCCGACAAACCTTACGATCATATCCCTTACCAAAGTGGTCTGACCGCACGTTTTGACCGTACCTCCGTACCGCACGAGCAACATCAATCTGAACTCTTGGATCAACCCAACGATAAAGGAGAACAATAGATCCGATAAAGACAGTAGGTTCAACAAACCCAAAGGAACCCAAATGGATGTCATAGAGAGAGGCCCCCAAACAATGTTTTTTAATGTTGTTTTAAGATGTTTTAAGTACTATGCACTATATGATTCATTGTTATTCTCGCCTAGGGATTTTGTGGGGTCCCATTTTAAGTTGCAGAATGGCTGCCCGTCCATGGAGACAGCGCCACTCGGATTGGCCGGTCCTGGCGCTCATGCCGCTAGTGGACACTGGTGGCGACCATCTATTTCCGGTCGCAAGTTGAGGCTTGAGCTGACAGTGACCTGAACGGAAGACTGTTTTCCTCCCTCTGCATTCAACGGGGTTCCACTTCTGTGTTTGTTGGATGCATCAGTGACATTCTTTGTTTGCCGGTGAAGAATGCAACCCTGTGTTGAGTTGGATCAACATTCCTTGATCTTCATCTTTACGGCCAGGCTTCACCGCCAGGTTTCACTGGTTTTGGCCGGGTACTTCGACACATGGGCGACGCCACCGCTCATGGTCGGCTTGCGTCGGCTCGCCCATCCGCTCGGCTCGCACAAGCAGCACAAGACTGCTTGCTTACGCTCGCTTCGTTTGTTGATACGCACAACAAAGTCACGATCCGTTGGCTCATTTGGCTCATTATGTTCAATCTTACACCATTGGACTCGTGGCGCAACAAATTGACAACGTGAATCATACTTCATACTTCAATCATCTTCAAAGCACCTGAATTCTTCTTGGTTAAAACAAAAAACACTCTGACACACCTGAACACTGTTGACATCGCACTCAGCGCATGTAGGACATCGCTGAGCCAGTCCTTCAGTGGAGCTGAAGCTGAGGAGCACACCGCGTAGCGCCTGGGCGGGTCGGTCGACCCATCGGATCTCTGACAACGAGCCCGTCAACCCGACAACAAACGAGACTGAAGGAAGGAAGACAATGCGGAAAAGTTGCGGGTCCCGCTGTGTTCTGCAGGACATAAAAACTGTTGTGACGCCAGCACGACCATGCAACCAGCAGATTCGGTGGAAGCCTTTGTAAAATTATCAGCACAACCATGCAACAATCCATCCTTCATGAACCACGAAGCAGTCCATGGAGTGATGGCCGCCCAGCCTTTGCAGGAAATTGCTCTTTGCACAGCGTTTGGCCTGGGAGAACTTGTACATGGCCACCTGCATCACAGGACCAAGGACCACGAGGATAGAAAACCACTTCATGCACACCCCAAACATCTCCCAAAATGAATAGAACGGCCGACTCAAGGATGGTTCTATTTTGGATACAGTTTCGTACCCCCCTCCATGCTCTGTTTGGGTTGCTCTCCCCAGTCGCACTCATTCATCTAGTTTGGTGAAGGCCCAGCCTTCTTGGCTCAAGTCATCTTGTATTTCTTCCTTCCACGACTACAATTCCAGCTAATCCAGGTAGAATCACGAGTGTGCCAAATAACAGAACTCCCAACATCGTATCACCTGTCATATGTAAGACAACACCTACAAGTAGGACCAAAGGGCTAGTAGGGGCACCTACCCCCAAACATGGAGGAAAGGCAGTGACAACGAAACCACATGGAAACCACATGGAAACAACCCTGCATCCTCTTGACCCCAGGAGACCCCTATTTACGAAGGCCAGCAAGCCAGACTGCCTCCGAAGGTGTGAGCACGGCTGCATGATCCTCCCACTCAGCGAAGAAGGCCTTGGATTCACGCCGTGGCAACCTGGATAGGAGGTGAATCTCGCCAAGGACATCATTCAATTCTTAGTTGGTTGGTAGGGTGCAGGGTAATTTAGAGGTCCCGAACACGAAGGTGTCGTACCTTTAATTTGTGGTTGAATTAGACAAGACACGTGATTCGAGCAGGGCAGGCAATTCAAAGATCCCGGACACACTAAAGTATGGATTAAAATCTGTGCACACTAGAGGGTAGGCGTACGTGGGGATTGGTCATTCAACTCCCTGCCAATCAGACAATGCACTTGACCCCACATGACCTCACTACAATCAAGTATTTAGGATGTCGATGTTTGTTTCCCTTCAATTTGCCATGTTTGCAGTTGTTTTGGTGAGATCGGTAAAGATCCCGACTTGCGGTTGCAAACCGGACTACCGTGGGAAAAAATACACAAGCGGATTATGCACTACAAACCCGTAGCGTCGAGCACTGTCCAGAGTAGTCGCCAAGCAGCTTGATCCAGTACAACGGGCATCACCAACAAGTGCAGGGAGGAGTAGTTGAAAGGATCATATTGGCCTTGGATGTTGTCCATTGGTGGGCGGGAAGCATCTCCAAGGGCTAACGGACAATGACTATCCAAAAGAAAGACTTGCACAATGTTCCCTAGATCAGCACGAACACAACGAACAACTTTAGGCGTTTTTTTCGTGAATTCTGGGAGGTTCGCAGGTGATGCTGCTACTACCAAAGATACTATATTAAGCAAAACAGCATCAGCAGCAACAATGTTACAACAACAACAACAATTACATACTGCTGCCACTACTACCACTACTACCACTACTACTACTACTACTGCTGCTGCTGCTACTACTACCACCAACAACTGCTAAGTGCGAACTGCTGACTACCTACTGCCTACTGCCTACTGCCTGCTGCCTACTGCCTACTGCCTATTACCTACTGCCTACTACACTACTACTACTACTACTACTACTACTACTTCTCTAGCTGCAGCTAATTACCTGTGAATACTGCTGCAACTGCTAATAGCCCTGCTACACAACTTCTGCTACTACAACATGATGACTGCTCCAATGACGGCTAAGAGCCCCTGTCATCCACCTGTACAAGGGTAGGACTTTGCCATCAACAGGTGGCGCACAGCTTGTTGGCTGGCTGGCCTTCTTGCTTTGGAAAGCCTGGAGGGGAACCAGGCATAGCTTTTCTGGTCTAAGAAACTTTGCTTTGCCAAACAAATGAACGTCATCTGCAATGCGTTTCTGGTTGTGACATTCTTGACTTGACAATCTGTTAGACACCCACCTCAGAGAGGCTCTGAAGTAGACGCGACACTCAGTGAGAGAACCCCACAGGTTCATAATCGGAGCCGCACGGCACCCAAGAACAACATAACATAACATATAAATCCCCTGCCGTTGGCATCTCACACCCTCTGTTACCTCTGTTGGCCCGCTTTTCTTCAAGTGAGCAGTAGCTGTTGCATGCTGTTGCGCAGCGCTTCCCAAACAAGTAACCAAGCAAACGATTGTCACCTCACCGAAACTTAAGTCATCCAACAACACGTGAGCACCCCGTCGCCCACCCCAGGTCCTGTTTCACACTTTCGATCAGTGGTGTTCAGGAACGGATGACGTGAACGGAGGCAGTAGTGAAAGGAGGTGAGCAAACCCTATTAAGTTGGACTACACAAGTCAAGAGCCAATCAAGATTAATTTATATAAAACGAGTTCGTTTTTGAGACAATGTCCATGAGACAGCGCTTCAAACACTAGACTTCAAACCACGGTCCCAACTGTTGCCCGAAGCTCTTCCAAGTGGCCCACCGTGGCGAGGACATTCCCCTCCGAATCGACCGACACTTCGCAGCTCAGTGTGGCTTCCACCGCCGGAAGCGTGGCGTTCGCGGCCGCTTCGCCCCGCAGAAGCACCACCGCGTCAGAGGCGGCGGGGCGGCCTGGAGGAGGAAGGGATTTGGGTGGATCAAACGGTGGACGTGTCTATGTAATGGATGGGTGTTAATATGTACGTGTTAATAGATGTGGCGTATTTCCATATATTTAGTGCTTCTTTTACACACAAGCTCGACATGACCTGAGATGGAGGGCAGTAGACTAGTAAATGAAAGGTCGGCTTGTAGTACCGTACATTGTACTGGGATGCGAAAAAAAGAAACACGCTGTGCAGCTGTGCAGCTCGGACTTGAGCGTGTCTTCGGACTGCCACATATTGAGCATGTGGATGACTGGATTACTGTCACGATTCTGAGCAATGGACCCGGCAAATATTTCATCTGGGGAAGCTGCCGGGGGCCCGACCTATAGGGCAAACAAAACTGCACGTAGAGACCTCAATTCATTGGCGAAGTCTTGGTTCTGAATGCTAGCTATCTGGGCCAATCATGGTCTATCCAAGCGGAACAAACAAGAAGCGAAGCGAGGGACAACCATGGACAACCGATCTGAAGACTGAGGTCTCATTGGTAAATTGTGTTGGCAAATTCACAAATAAAACACTCAAACGAGCAGAACGGCAGACCTGGCTGGAAGGCCCTGGAATTGCACTGATTTATTCAGCCTTTTTGGTATGCTGTATACAACGAGTGCACTCCCACAGCCTGCCACTCGTGAAATCACACCCCCTTCACAAGGTATGATCCAACCAGGTGATGTCATGTGGTCATGTGGTCCTTGTGGGGACCATGAAATCTTGACTGCCTCAAAAGTTCAGCGAGTTCCAAGCCAAACATGGATGATGGGTGAGGAATGTATGTAGTTTCCAGGAGTTCTTCCTTGAAGAGGAATGTCCGTTATCCCCAGAGATGTCCTGATCTACGCGATCCAACAGCCAGCACCAAGCTGTTCCAGAGTCTACTGCTCTACAATTTGGTAGGACTAAAAAATCCTCATATTCCATCATTTCATCAACCCAATGAGTTGCTTCCATCAACCGTATGTCGTACTTCGAACCATGCGCTGCGTCTCCCGTCATACTCCCCAGCCTTGGTGCAACTCGAGCGTGCCCGACCTGAGGTCGAAGGTCATTGAAACGGAGCGACGGCCGCTTTAGTACAGCCAGAATCCAGAACCGTGTTTTTTCTTGCGATGCCTATTAATAACTATCTTCTACTGTTCAACTCGTGCTTTCTGGACTGATTGGTTGATATGGGTTTTTAGAGAAGGAAGATGAAGGAAGTCCCAACATCCCATCTGTCCTGAAGTAAGCGCCATTGGGAGATCTATGATGGTATACACATACAGTATAGCTTCTTTCTAACTTCTTCCGCTCAGGGTGCTTTGGTTGATCACTCTATCCTGGACCTGGAAACAAAACAACTCCAAACATTAGATTTGGTGTGGAATTCCACTTCTTTGCATCACTATAGTTCGCCGGTCAGTTGACCTTGAAACTTATTTATACAGTGGTAAACTTACAGTGTCGAGCATGTTGAGTTCCTTTCAAGCTTCAAAGAAGTAGGAACACATCGGGTTTCTTGGCTAGTTTCAGGTTTACTCACATGAGATTGCAAGTCCATACGATTTTCTTGTGTTGTCTGGCTCAGTAACAACAAGTAAGAATATGTAAGAATTATCCACGGAGCCAATCGTGCACTCTCTGAACACCTTCTTTGAACGCCAACCTCTGATCATCAACTTCAGCACACCTGGGTAAAATTCACCTCACTTACACACACTTAATTAGGCTCGCAAATCCCCAAACGCCCCACCCACATCCACCCACCACACAAAAAGTAAAAAAGGACACGTCCAGCTTGTCACGCTCTCAAACGCGGTCGGCGCCCAGCGGCTCCGCGTCAAAGTGTTGCTCCCCAACGTCCAGTTCCAGTGCCAGCGATAAACGTGCGGAGCGGCCTTGCCAGTCGGGGTGCACGCGGCGGAATTGCAGCACGTGGTGCCTAGAATGGACTGAGCCGAGGGCTTGGTCATGCGATGACCAATCGCAAACAATTCAGTATGCAGTGTTCCAAATTGTTTTACAGCTATGAACACTATGCCAAACAAACATGTTCAGATTATAGTTAGTCGTGCTTCTTTATTAAGGGTGTCTCTTCTTGACCGGACGAAGCAACCAATGCCATGCATCTCTCTATATATATATATGTATGTGAATTAATATTATACAATATATGCGTGTGCATGTAATAATATGCTGTGCGGCTATGCATGTACACACACCCGAAGTGTGACTCAAAATTGTAACCTAGATTTCAGGAAAAAAAATCCTGAATCCCATCCCACCCCAAACACCAGAATTAACTATTAAAGATTTCAGGAAAGATCTGCATTCGCATGCAGTCTTTGCATTGTCGTCCAAATCTGCACAAATTTACACAGATATACACTAAAGTGGGAGTATAGGATGGGTCATCGGGCGTTGCATAGTGTATGCAAATACACGCTTCCTGGGCCAAGCTACTCCGCTTGGCAGTGCCCACACGGACCAGCACCGCCGTTGCCATTCGTCGGCGTCTTCGCTATGCAGCCGTCCAGGCGTCCCGCAAGGCGGCGGAGCGTGGAGGGGGTCAAACCTGCGGGTTGTGAAGACGATGTGATAGCTCTACGATAGCTCTACTTGTCTGGTCAAGGCTAGCGGCTAACGTTTTTGTCATGAAAAGAGCGTTTCTTTGAAACCTGGAGGTAATCTAAAGTCACGAAGGCAACAATGTCTGCACAAGCATCACTTCCAAAAGGACTTGGCATGGTTCCAAAAGGAAATGCAGTTTCAGGTGAGGTGACGCATATAGTCCAGTAGATTGATTCATTTTTTCCATGGTCAAACTGGATGTGTCTAGGAAATCGGGAAATCTCATGATTCATTAAAACCAACGGTGTCTGTTTAGTATCTGCTTTCATGCCTCGATCGGTGAATAAAAGCCAAATCTGCATGGTTTGGTGGAGTAAACTAGACTAAATTAAACATATTCCAAACCGCATGAAATGAGCTTCCTTAAGTTTGACCCGATGTCAGGCAGAAACAAACCGACTAAAGCAATACGGCGTCCAACAAGTGGAAACCCACGGAAGCTTTCCACTTCGCCACTTCCCCGCGTCCTGATCAGTGGAACCAGCCACTTATGGCTACTTACCTAGGATTTGTGTATTAGAATAGGGAGACCTACCAGGCAACGACCCCCCTGAGAAGAAGCAATATATAGACGAACACAGAGTAAAACTCATTGGTCCAGGGCGTCCCCTATTCAAACCCAATTCAGCTCATTTCTACCTACTGCAGGTGCTACCGGTGCTACCTACTATGGTCCATGGATCTACAGATCGGTCGTTGATTCGGTCCATCTACAGGCCTTGGATCGGTCCATCACCGGGGAAGGACTGGTTGTTGTAGGCGAAGTAGCATCCTTGGATCGGTCCGTTCCGGACACGTTTTGGGAAATGACATGACACTGCCCCTTCCTGGAAAACCCCTTTGACATGTCCAACTGTTGTTGGATGTCTTTTGCAAAAAGCAACTCTCCAAGGAAAAAGGTACTTTGTCCATAGCTTCCTAGAAGTGGAACCGGGGGTAAAACGAACATTTCTTTAAGCAATCACAAGCATCCACCCACCCCCAGGAAGGAAGTGAGACATTGCGGATGATCGTTACATCGGCTGTGGCAGGTCTCGTTGTTTGTGTGCCTCGGTATGCGGGTCTGTTTTCAGCACAATGCGCACTGGACAAAGTCCTTCAGCATCATCAACCCATGAAGCATGTGCAGTTGCATTTACAAGGTTGGCTCAACCATGCCTATGAGCGCTTTGATGATTTGCATTGCTATATATGCTTTGATGCATGGAACAGGGTTTTCATCCAAAAGCAACGTGAGGTTCATCCAGCATCTCATGCATGTCTCTGGAAGAGATACTCCTTCGCTTCGAACACCGTCCACAGAGACGACGAATGGGCGCTTGAGTCGCTTTCCCTGATGGGAAGCCCGAGGTAGAAGTCGACCCTCAGTGTCCATGAGTTGATTTCCAATACCACCCTGTACTCCGCTGGACACGAGAATATCCCTTCTGTTGGTATGAACACAAACAAACCTGGATCAGGCAATTGCGGAGATGCTTTCTGGCATGCGATGTACCTCCATTCTCAGGAGGGTCCTGGACCTCTACAGCAGGGTAATTGGAAAGGGAGGTTTGACGTTACTTCACAAGCACCTCGCCTCAGCATGTTGGCCGATGACAACTGAATCTTGGTTTTGAAAATCTGAAGATCCAACGCTTCAATGACTTGCATGCTCTGAACTATCGTAATGGAAACCGGATCTACGTTTTTTTACCGAGAAATATTATGATCTAGTCACATAATATAGCGACGTATAACAACTACCTTACAACAGGTATTGCTATGCTGGAGGTCTTTTGTGGTTGCTAAATGGCCTGAGTTTGGCAACCAAGGAGCAACGTCACCGTCAAATCAATCTCTGCCACACCTGCACCGCCACAGTTCAACATGATGCAAGGCCGTTGAATCGAGCCCATATCCCACATGAGCGGGGCATTGGATCAAAGCACTACTTTGACTGTGTGTTGTGCTATAAACCTGAGAAAGCAACGGGCAAAGGTTGGAGGCCATCGCAATTATTAGGTTGAAGGCCATTCGGCCCTTATATATATTATATACTATAGTATATACTTAATTGACCAACAGAAACTCCCAGTCCCTATGTCCCTATATCCTGCACATCTCCGCACTTTCAGTGCTGGCAGATCACCGACGCTGGCCGCAGATCCATCAGCGGAGAATTTCTGGTGCCCGTCCCTCCCAAAACCCACACCCGAGCTGACGGCCTGGCGGCAAGCTGATGATGCTTCCAGGGATCGTCGACCACGGCACGAGCGCCTCACAATTTGTGAAGTGGTGTTCTGTTGAGCTTCTTCCCACCGGCGGATGATGATGGTGTTATTTCGTTCTCTGCAACAGTTTCAACATTTTTCAAACCTTTTCCAACTGCGACTTGCAATGATCCCAGGCGTGTGCTCCGTGTGGATGGACAAAGGTGATCAGCAAAAGAACTCATAGAGTTTGACATGGTCCGTCTGAGCCAGGGGTTCGAGGAACCACATTCAACACTATTTACACAAGAGTTGAAGAAGTGCGTTCAGCCTCTTCACCATCCCATGGCTGTGGTTGAATTGTGAACCCTGGCAACACTCATCCCCATCCCATGGAAGACACAGCTGGCTTCGTTGTTGAGGCAACTTTCATTTCCGGCAGATTTTGGATTGGTGGATATCGCAATATTTCATTGTTGGCTGAATTTTGTGTCAGGAGAACCTCCGGCCTGATTTTGACAAGTTCACTCTTTGTGTTGCGTGGACGTTTGCTAGCAACTAGAGATGTCTCTGCAAGCTCGTTGGCCAATGCGATGCCCCTTATTTTCGGTCAACTGGCAGCTGTGTTGATATTTGCCGGCACTCACTGCAAATTCACCGGCTTTCAGGCAAGGTTGTACTTGTGTTTCAGGCAAGCACTGGCTTTCTGAACCTGGAGAAGTGGTCGGAACACATCCAAAGACCACTTACGAAAATCTCGGTTCTTTGCCATGTAGGAGGTGAGTGCCGTGAGGCACCCAGTCCAAGCGTGTTTTTTACATTTGATGAATCTGACATTGACATGCAAATAAATACAAACTATCGCATGCATATCTTTTACATTTGATGAACTATTAGTATGTGTCATTTTGATGACTTATTGCATGTCTAGATTCTAGATGCCCCAGTTTGTAGTCCGGCTCTTCTCCTCCACTGTCGCCAAGTCACGTGGAAGTCTGCGCCCTTCACTTCAACCCAGAAAGGCAGCGTGCGCAGCGGGGAGAAGCGCACGTGGACCTCGCTGGGCTCCAGCCATGGCCGCAAGCCCTGGATCTGCACGGTGCTCACGCGTGGAATCAAAGCCTCCAGGCGTCAGGGTGCGAAACAGCTACTAGGAGCAAGGACGCTACTAGGGGCTCCTGGCCTTACTACTAGGAGCAAGGACGCTACTAGGGGCTCCTGGCATCGCTACTAGGAGCATTTTTACTACTATGTAACAAGAAGCTTGCTTCCAAAACGGATGATTCATCCCGCCGTTCCAAGGACGATTGGATCGGATCACTGGGGCAACTGAGAAATGGAGGGAGTGGATTGGAGCAAACAAATTCAGGAATCCCTCCAGCCAGCCCGGTGAAGTGAAGGGATCTCAATATCCATGTCGACTTAAAGTTTGCAGGGTTAAATTCTACATATCGCTGGGATGTTGGATCTTCTTGAGTGTGTGAATCCCGAAAATGCTGGTGTTTGCTTTGAATAGCCATATGCTCTGCTCTAGGTTGCGTTGCTCTAAGTTTCAACACAAGTGAGCAAAAAAAAGCAGTGAAACTAAACGTAATCGCATCAAGTTATTGCACCTAATTTGCAGGAACACTTTCCAGAAAGAGCACATGTCCTGTGTAATGTTTCCTTTGTCATTTCTCATGTTTTTCTTCCATTCCCATTCCAGACCTTGTTAGGCTATAGTACCGACCTGCACGACACTGAAGGATGTCTTCTCTGTTCGCCTGCGAAAGTTGGATCTCCTCGCTGGCGAAGCTCTCGTCCTGCGAAGCTTGTGTCTACGTAGCACGACAGACTCGGATGGACCCAGAAGAACTTTCTTCGAGGACCCAAGTTGTGGAACGTTCCAGGCTTTCCCATCTCAAGATCCAACGATTTGGGTTTGTACCAACGACTTGGCCAGAAGTTCATCGACGGAAAACACATGAAAACACCATGCGCGGAGGCGGACAAACATACGTATCAGCGCGGTTCTCTTTCTATCAGATTCTATCGGACATGTTTGCATCGCACATGCCGCCCCAACAGCTTCCGAGTCCAAGACCGTGTCAGACCTCCAAGAGCTTCCGAATCGGTGCCCGCGATGGCCCGGGCGATGCCGGCTGCTGCAGGGAGATCCAACGAGTTGCGGAAATTTTCCCCGTCGCCAATAATGCCACCTATCCGGATGGATCGAGGAGGAAAAACACATGGGAGAACATGGAAGAAACATGTGGAGAAACCTATGTTTATGAACATCGCTTCACTGTGTGTTCGTGTGTGAATGTGGAAAGAACACTTCGATATGTGAGGGAAAGTACCTGCTCGGGCAAATTCATGTGGACCCGGCTTCTTTTGAAGAGAAACATCGTGTTGCAGGGTTCCTTCACTTTCTGGATGCCAGGAAGTGCATGGAGTTCCCCATTTCAACACGGCAAAAACATGGGCATGGAGGCAAGGTCACCGTGGCATAGGTCAGGTGGTCCAATGGCCTTCTATGCAACCACCTGACATCACCTGACCAAACCCCTCTGGTCAGGTGCGTAGTCCAGGGTGCTTGAAGTTTTCGGCATACACCATGTCGTTCGGCCTGAGTGAAGCTGGTGTCCATGTGCACTACCTTAGCCGTGCAAGTGCTACGGTTCCAGTCATGGAGAAACATCTAGCCACTTGGCCGATGTAGCTAGGTGAAACTCTGCAAAGAGGCCGGCTGTGAATGGGTAGCCCAGGTGAATCTAATGACTTTCTAGTTACTCCAAACCCCAAGGCCTGTGACAGAATCATCAACACAAAGCAAGGCCTTCTTACCTTGGCATGCGGATCATCGTCCACCTGTGAGCTAAGCGCTTCAGCCCGAATTCAGCATCTTCAGAAACATCTTGGAAACCAGTTCGAACTAAGTGGAGACTTCGATGCCACCCACGAAATGGTGATACGCCGATACGCCATGTCAACGCCGGTCTCGTGGTCGCCACATGGTCACCACAGGTTTCGACCACCACGTGAGGTTTCGACACCACGTTGCGTAGCGCTGTTGGTAGGGCTTGAAGGTCAAAGAATGGAGATCCGTCACCAGCTGGAGATCTTTCAGCTGTCCCCTGGGATCGAAGCGCGTTGACCAAAAGTTGGCACCGCACCAGTTGCAACACTTTTCGGGGATCCAAACTAGACGATATCAGTTTTTTTGCGCCGGAGGGCTACAAACAAAATTAACTAGGAATTTGTTGAAGGGATGCAACCCCCCCAGCAGTCTCTATCAAAGTTGGTAGATGAGCACTCTTCTCTCAGATCCGTAACGTGCGGTTGTATGGAAAACTTGTTTTCTGGAACATACGAATGGCCTAACAAACCCATGATCCCATGTATGTCATGTGACTTCTAAGGGCTTGGAACATCTGATCCCGTTGCCAGGAAAACATCCGAATCCGCCTGGAGCAAGCGTAGAGAGTGCCCTGCAACAAGGACATTGCGAGGAAGGCCGCCACTAAGGCTGCCCAGCTCCTTGGCCGAGACCGTGTGCCAAGCTCGAGAATCCCAATGGGTATCCGGAGACCTCCCAAAGACTCCCTGGAAGAAGGAACATCGACCAAAACCCATTAGTTGACTGTCTCCCGAGAAAAAATAATGCGCACCCAATCGCACCCAACTGTTGGGTCAACTTTGACCTCATGGAGGTCAACGAGCAAGAGGACCCTACTAGGAGCAAAGGGCATCGCTACTAGCAGCAAGGGCCTTACTAGTAGGAACAAGAAGCTATTTAGAAACAATAAGTAAATATAATTTAGTTAAAATTAGTAGCTAAAGGAGGCTACTAGGACCTTTTTTTCGGATCCAAGTTCGGCCTCGATCTCGCGGCTGTGTGATGTCACAATGCTGACTTCGGTGATGACCGGAGCTTCGGCGGACCCGGAGTTGATTTATAGGCTTTTCGAGCCTCTTGGAGTGTCCAAAGAAGCAGCCAGGCAAAGGTGCTTGATTCATAGAAGCCTTCCGATCTACAAGTCAGCAAAGCACTCCTTCCTACTAATTCGCCACACAAAAAAGGCCCAAGACAGCAAAGGCAGATTGGGCCCTGAAAGTCTGATGCTCAGTCCCCGAGGCTGAACCAAACAGTCCAAACCGTGTGGATGTTCCGTTCCGTTCAGCGCCCAAGGCTCGGCAAGACCCAAAAGCCCATGCTTGAGCCCTCCTGGTGCCAGATGGCCGCACGGTGCCATGCGAGGTCACGGAAGCTGAAGTCCTCGAAGTGGTCCTGTGGTCTGACCAACTGCACCACACAGAGAAGACACGCGAGAACCACACAGTTGTCTTCACACCCCAAAACTGCCCAACTCAACGCAAGTGACCAGTTGTAACCCTTCCCCGACTCCGCCCCAAAGCGCAAAAAGCAAGAACCACAGGTTTAACCTGTGCAAACCCTGCGTCGTTGTTGCCGGTTTCTTTGATGGTATGCAGTCACCACATTACACTATTACACCAAAGGAAAGGAGCTTCCATTACATTGGCACACATTGACATGCATATCCCATTCTCAAATACATGCCACTCCAGGTGGGGAAACACAAATTGGGGCGTGTGCAGTGTACGAGTAGTTGGGATATCCGTGCATTGGCTTTTTCACATTACATATAATTGGTATTAGAAAACAAGTCGCAAATGTTACCCCTAGCACCAGTGTAGCTGGTGGAGGCAAAGGCAAAGCGAATCTCCTCAGCAAATAAATGTTACCCCATGGCTGCTCTGCCTCACCTACTTTTTTCGCTTGCTTGCGCTATGGCATTCTGGATCAAACACACCACTTAGAAGGTGTTCGTGGAGAATCTGCTCAAGTTCCATGTTTCTGTAGTTCTTGTTTCTTTTGCTCGAAACTCAAAACTTTAGGCACGAAAGCCATTGTGAGAGGTAGGACCGTTACAAGTTACAATACGGTCATCAAGATTCATCAAGCATCTCCATGAAACCCAGTTGAACCACACAAATTTCCCGTGGCCCTTCAATTTCAGTGAAATTGGACCAGGCATGGACTGAGAACTGCCCTGAGGAGAAACAATGCTGCAAACAGAATCATTATTAGCCTGGGCCTAGTACATAAGTGGCCCATGCCGTATCCTGCGACTCCTTAGTCAAGTGCCATTTAAGGTGCTTCATAATTGATTGCTCGCTCACACCAGTGATATTCTTCCCACCAAAAAAATACCTTGGCGCTGTGCTCGCCTCTGGCATTCCATCGTCGGAAGGAACGATGTGGGCCTTGGTGATGTTGCCATCGCCAGCGCGGAAGGAGCGCAGCAAGGAAGACCAAGAGAGAACGGTCACCTGCACTCTGCTCAAGGGCAAGTGTCTAACCAACTGTCACAATGTCCCCATCATCTGATCTGGAAGAGTTAAACAAAATAACTACTTTGAAAACTTTGGTGGGCTAAGTTAGTTATGTTGAAGCTGCTGAAAGAGACATTCACCATAATATACCAGATTCCACTTCTTGGCTTGCGGTCGGTGTTTGCCTGTCCAGGGTGTTGTTGGAGCCTTGGTGGTTGAATTTCATAGTTCAGCAAGCAACATTTACTAGGAGCAAGGACGCTACTAGGGGCTCCTGGCCTTACTAGTAACAAGAAGCTACTAGGAGCAAGGGCATCGCTACTAGGAACAAAGGGCATTACAGGCTACAACTCAAAATGTTTCTAGATTTATTGGCCAGGAACACTCCATCCCAGGGGGATCTCCGCTCCAACGATATCAGAGACGTACCGTAACGTACCCGACATGTCACTTGCACGACACTCCACGGGTCGGAACTTCATCCAAACACCAAACTCACGGTCGTCACATCTAGTCACCAAAAATAGATCACGAGACAGTGTTCCAACAAACAATCAACGAACAACCAAATTACCCATGACCAGGACAAGCTTCGTCACCCTCAAAACCGCTACTACCGTCGCTTCCAGTTCTGCAGTTGAATGGTCTGTGGTTATATCAGCGATCACCCTGTGTAGGGATGTGCAGGCCATATAATATATAAATGGTTGAACAAAAAACATAAAAACAATAAACAACAACTCCATGCGCACGGAACACCATTAGTTGGTCCGTCATTTGGCATGAAACCACGCAGAACCCTGACGAACGGAACACCTTTCAGTGTGAAGTTTGCCAAAAGCCTGGGGCAAGTCAGTTCGCCAAAGCTTCCTGAGCAGCCCGGGTGCCAGTTTGGGAGAGGTCTCGTGGGGTTTTGTGGTTCCACCCAATCCAGACACCTACACTTAATCCACACGCCAAAGTCAATTCAGTCATGAAGCCGTGTCTGAAGCGCATCAAAACACTTGTGACATGTGCCAAAGCAGCCCATCTTGACTCGTTGATACCTCATCATACAATTGTGTTTTCCAAGATGTCTCACGATGCTTTGCATGCTTGTTGCAGCTTTATTGCGGATGCTCACTGGTAAGGGCATCGTGATGATGTCGCATGCCATTTGTGGACTTGTTGATTCTGCAGAGCTTCATGCGCAAATTGCAACGTTTCTTCTCACTAGGTTCTTTGCTTCGTGATGGACATGCATGGCCAAAACAGTATTCACAAAGCCAGCAAACTAGGTCAATCTGAAAACATCAAATTGGTAAGCTGGCTGGATCGATCACTTCTCCACTCAGAATACCAACAAGATTGAGCTACCTTCGAAGAATTGCCCTGTAGCTTACACTGTAGCCTCAACCCGTGAGTTTGCTCCATCCTCCCTCTCAAGCAGAGCGTCGATTTCACTTCCACTTCTTTAAGCTGTTCCTCCAGGTCACTCGCAGTGCGCAAGGCCTCGAGCGGCGAAAACCAATCTCGGTGGGCAGGGAACTCAGGGAGCTGCGGGAGGACCTGACTCCCACGATGGACTTTTGGCGAAAAGAATTCAAAGGTGTTCGTCCCATGAGTGATGGACCGAATCGGCACAAAAACTCTGAGGTTGATGATCCGAACAGTGTCGGCCCCGAGTATTTCCTCGGCCTCCACTCTGAACCAACCAGGTGGGGTGGCCGACCCAAACCATTGAGTTTGTCCAACCTCAGATTGATTGTGGGTGAGCCCTCCATCTAGCTGAGGTCCAGGTCTTGCTGCCATACATTGGGGGACTATATCTCCCCTGAATCCAAGTTCGTAGTGAACATCTACCACTGACGATTTCTTTTGCCTGCTAAATTAATGACAGTGTAGCGGCTAGGCCACGCGTTTCTTTGCATGTTGTTTGTGAAATTTGTGTTGTGTGCTACAAGCCTTTAGTTTGCTTCGCTCAAGGCATAGAACCTAGTGACCAAGTAAACGGTGAGACCGTGAGACCTGCCAAGATGCGATTCGCAAACGAAAGATTTCAGGGTCGTCATACAAATATCAATTTACCCGAAAATTGATTTGGAGGAAGAAAGAACATCTACTAACAAATCATCCTGACAAATGACCTGACATACTACTTGACCTATGAGCTGTGAGATATGTGTTGGAATTACACCTGGCATTTGTAACCCCTTGCATGTGGACATATATTCTCACACTTCCAGCAGCATATGTTCTGACATCTGCACTCACATTGAAGGGCACGCATGATATTTATTACAAGGGGTTGGGTTATGTCACATCAGTGCGTGTGAAGTAGCATCACTGCATGGCCACGCGTGGAAGCGTGAAATCACATCAGCACGTGTGAAGTCACATCATGCTGTCTCAATCACCATGGCCACGCGTTCACAACCTATGTTTGGAGATCGACTTGTTTGGAGCCCACTCCTGTAAATTTACATGGTTTTCACTTTGGAATATACAAAAATGGACTACTGATCAGAGTTGCATCCCAATGCCCACGCGGTTTGGAAGATGAGGTTGTATGGTGCCAGGGATCTGGTGTTGGCGACAAAGCACAAGAACTAGACGCAGAAACTCTGACCCTCAGAAGATCCATGGGGGTTAGACGTCGAACTTGTCAGGGACGCTTGGTCTCGTGCTTGCTGGCAGCTCAGTTTTCTCCGTTTCACCTCACAGGCTTTGCAAAACTTGCCGCTGCCATTGGCTCTCCATGCCACTTGAGAACGAGGAAGGCCGCAAGATCGACATGTCGGGTCCAACTCTTTGGTCTGCACATCACATGGATTTCTGTTGTGTTTCACCTTTGTCCGACCGTGCGACAGGCTTCTTTTCCGGCTGCAGACCTCCAGCGCGAACAGCTGAAGCCAACGTTCGCACAGAGCGCGCACCAGCAGCTCGACATAATGCCCTCATGTCTGAGCGCTTCTGGGTTCACTCTTTTGCGCGCTGCTTGAGCACCTCCTTGCTGGCCACCATCGCTCAAGTGACTAGACACACAGAGACACTCAGGCGCCCAGAGCTTTGAGCAGAACTGGAGCACCAGTTCGGTGAGGCAAGTGTTGCACGCAAAGCAATGAAGTGTTCGAACGACCGAGAACAGTTGGAACAAATCTGCTCCTACCAGAGCTTCGCATCCCCCTTCTGCAAGCATGGGCGCAGACTCAGTGGCAAAAAAGGCCATGTCATGTGCGACAGCAATTGTCTTGAAGAGGTTAAGAAGATCACTGGCAAAGCAAATGAGAACCCAGCGCTACTAGATGGCTCACAAGATTCCCCTTTCACAGGAGTGACTGGTACCTCAAATTCATCCAGCCCCAATGTGTGTCAGCAATTGCTTGCAATGGAGCTGAGAAACCGGCGCTACTAGATGGCTCAGATTCCCCTGTCACAGGAGCCACTAGTACCTGGAATTCATCTGGCTTGAACATGTCTCGAAACAAAGAGGCAACGCCATTGGGAGCCTGACGCTACTGGGAGCCTGACTTGGAAATTTCCCTTTGTCAGAAGCCACCGGCACCTCAAAGTCATCTGCAGGAGATGGCTGTTCCCCGACAACAAAACTGACAACATCTGACTTTGAGAAGCTCACACTCAACTCCTTTCCAGAAGTTGACTTTCCAGAAGTTGTCTGCATCCACTGCGCCTGCGCGCCATGATAACAGTCAACAGTCACTTGTCACAAGGTCCTTCCATGTTTCTCCCTCACCTGTCCATTTTCCATGTGCTTTCTCAATGAAGAAACAGCACATAGACAATTGACCTGTCTGCCTGTCGTCATATCGTGTCATCACTTGTGCCTTCGTCGGTGGCTCTAGCAAACCCTTTTTTTGCGCATAACGTTGCGCTTCACGAAAGGACCGCAAAGGTTTGGAACTATCAGGCGGAGCCCAATACCCTCAGGCGAATCGATCGTAAAACAACAGCTCTTGACCATGGACTGCGAACACACATCAAGCAAAATCGAAAGCTTTTGCAAAAATAAAGCTCATTCAAACCTGGCAGGCTGCAATCCACTGTTCCTATGTTTTTCCAGTGGATCTCATTGTCGAGAACAAGGTCCATTCTGCCACAGCTTGTGCAGCCATGTCCCCCACACGGCTCTGGCGCTGTGGTCTAAGTAGAAAAGAAAAGGCATCAACAAGCTTTTGGTTGACATCGTAGGAAGTTAGTTTTAGGTATGCCTGAGCTTGCCTGATCATTCTGGTGATGGCGCAGTCTTGGTCATTGATTTGGTTTTGCAGTTGCGCATGTAATGCGCTCTCTGAAAACTCCTTTGTGTGCCTGTCTGTCTCGACAAAGTAGCTGCGCTAATGTGATTCGGAAATGCAGGTGCCAATGCAGAAGTCTTTGCCCAAAACAGTTCATGTCAGAGATAGTGACCTTGGAACAAATTACACTCAAAGCTAATCCCCCATGTCACAGCTGAAATGCTGCCTGGGATTCAGTAAATGCCCACATGTGGTCTTGTGGAAACAGCCGCGCCAATGCGCTTTGTGGGACAACAGGTGAATGTCATACATACTTGAACCAGGGTTACACCTACAACCCAGTTCCCCAAGGCCACGCCGTCACGATGCGACTTTACACAAGTTGATGCGACTTAAGTCTACCCCCGAGTATCTGGCAAATGTTTGGAATATCTTCTGCCGTTCTCTGGAATATCCTCTGGCACAATACCTGACACACCTGTTTGCTATCTGGCATATCCTCTGACATCCTCTGACTATCCGGCCCACACATGCTACAATGTTTGGCATGTTATGTGGCACACGTTTCCACATACATCTGGCGCGGCACAATTGTGTTTGTGGGATACTCCGACATATTACCCGGTGTATTGACATATTTCTGGCAAGTTCTGTAGTTGTTGCTATCAGTCACCCTATTTGACATCTGACTATATCTGGAATCTTGTGGAATATGGACACAAGCCTCAGTGCCGAGGAAGAGGTGGACACCACTGACATACGATCTAGAAACCATCACCCGACAGGAACCAAAGAATTTCCTGGATGTCCCACGCAATAATTTCAACGGGCAGTTGATTCAAACTTACTTTTAAAAAAACTGAAAGCTCATTTTGTTTAAGTTGAGCTTACTAGTGCCGTACTCAAAGTCTATGTTCATTTTTCAATGAATTTCAATAATGTGCTCCGTTCCATCCCAATTGACTATGGCATTTGAAACGTCGGCCTTCAAGAGCGTCCAGAAGGGTCCCAGCAAGGCCACCACGACCATGGCCTGGACTGAGGGCACTGGCCACAACACCAAAAGGGCTGGTGAACTCGCCTCCAATCGACTCAGTGACTAGATGTGTTCCTTCAAAAGTTCTGGGAACATACAAGTATGTGGCTCGTCCCGTATCACCTGCATCTTGAGACCTCTTCCGATTTGAAACATTCTCGCTTTTTTGGAGTATATCCGCCGCGACTGCGACTGCTCGGTTGCAGAAGTCGCCACCTGAGGGTTGGCAAAGCTGCAGCCCAGCACCAGCAAACCATAGAGTCCCAAAAGGGCCAAAAGCATCACGTCGATCCTCGCGAGGATCGGGTCTGGCAAGGTCGAGACCAGGGTTGGTCTGATTCGCTCGGGGGTTGGCAACATCTATTTCTCCAAGACTGCTTCAAAGGGATCAGGCAGCAAAATGTGTATATATATATTACATTTATGATATATATATATCTGATAATCAATTGATTCAGGTCATCAACTGGTCTCAAAGAACGTGGAGGAACTAAATTGTCTCGCCACTTGTCGGGTGAGGATCGCCAATTGTAGGCTGAACTGCAAGTCTCCCTGTGGTGAAACAAATCCTGCCGCGACACCCAACCGCCATCTATGAAAACCTCCGAGATGGTCTCAATAACGCAAACGCATTTATTGTATACTACACTTCCCAGTCGCCACAAATAATTAAGTGCATGCTGCAAACAATAGTAATCTAGCAAAAGAGATGGGGGCTGCTGACTGGTGTGACAACAGATGGGGTACACGGTTCCTTTCCCATGTGCTTGTGGGTGGTAAGTGCTTGGCGCCCCTCCAGGGAACCGGGGTTGTGAGTTAACAAAAATAAGCGCCATAAACAATGCATTATGGTACTTCCTGTCCAATCCAATTGCAACATCTTGGAACATCCTGCGTAAAGTGCATCCAAACCTGAAACCACCCTTGCCCTTCAGGCTCTCTTCAATCGATAAAACCCAGTAGCCGAACCACTTGCCCAAGCCACCTTGTGGAAGGTGCAGGGTCCAAAAGCAGCACACCGCGCTTTAAGCAGAAGTGGGTGAGCTGCTTCTTGCAAAGAAGCTTCCTGAGCTGTTCTAGGAGTGAGGGAGGCCACGCGAAAAGCTTGGAGCTGCCGACGCATGCAGTAAAAACATACCCTTCTTGGCAAGGCATGTCCCCATCCTCTTCACGCCAGTGGCGAAGGCGGCCAAGGCGGCCAAGGGGCATCAGTCGATATGAGCCCAGCACAGCTAAGAAGCAGGGGAAAAACATGATGGCCCAGTCCACCTCTGTGCGTTGGACAGCAAACGAAGAAGCCTTCGACTACCTAAACGTGACTTGTGACCTAAGCGTCTGTAGTGTCTTTCTGTTTTGATTTGAAGTATATGGGTGTATCGCAGTACGGATCTTGAAACCACTCTTCTTTGTTTAGATCAATTTACTACCCAATGAAAGGAGTACTCCTGACCTCCACACCTGTATTCACCCTATTTGCCCGATTGGGGCCAAAGGAGAAAACGGGCTCAACCCGGGGGTCTATATGGGTCCACTCGCCATCGTTCCTCCCCCAGCGTCGCCTTGGAAGATTTGGACATCTCTAGAATCCCACACACCGAAAAAATAGCAAAAAGGCCTGGTGATAAATTAAACTTCAACCTTCTCCTTTCCAGGTCCCCTCGAAGCTTTCAATAGTTGCTTCTTGAAACTAGTAAGTTAGTAAGCATATGAAGGCTGTCATAAGCTACATGTCACCCTCCTTTCTCACCACCCGCGGGCCTGCTCGGGCACATCCGTCTTCTCCACATAGGACAAGGTCACAGTCTGCAGGGTCACCAGGCAGCCCACAAAGCCACCACCTTGGAGAGCGCGAGGGCCCGTGAGGTATGTTCCTTGACCTCCCTTGCCACACCAAATCTCACCTTTACAACGGAAGGACACACGAAACGTCGGCAGGTCGAACGTGCCCAGGAGCCGGTCCAGCCGAATGTTCAAACCCACAAAGCTCAAAGATGCTCAAAGCATCCCTCCGTGGATTCGAACATTTATCCGGATTGGACAAGCGCCGAGTGTGGACACTCCAGGATTTGGAGGTTCCAAATGGTTCCAAATGGTTCGCTGAGTGCTTAGTGTTTGTAACTCTATTGACTGGTTACTGCTATAGTAAAGGAATGCACTCAAGGGGGAAGACCTTTGTTCACAGATGATGTAGCTGCATAGCAGGCCAGTGGGGCAGTGGGTTCTGGACATGTCCTTGCGAATAGCTTGCCTCTGAAAAAACGTGGGAAAGGACGGAGCTCATTGTGTACAGGGCGACTGACACACCGCAACATTGAATCTTGTTGTTGGTTTTCCTATGTATTCCGTATGTCTTCGGAGGTCTCCGTCGGTCTTCCAATCACGCATGAAGCACAATCTCCGTTCGTCCGTCTTCACCGGTGAAGTCCTTCTCGCCCAATTGCTCCAGCCCAAGCCGGTGAAGAAATTCTGCGAAGGGCTTTGGACCTTCACCTGAGAATCTCATCACACAGCCCGGCAGCTACCAAAATCAACAATGGTGAATAAAACTGCTAGTACAGGGTTCGATACATCGCCCCTTCTTGAAATGTTGGCAAAGACTTAGAAGAAGAGAGTAGCTGTCAAATGTGCGATGTGGTTCTTGGAGATTCGCTGATTTCAATCACCAGTTTAGGCTCCCAACTTGGGCTTGGAAAGGCCCAACTGGGTGATGTTCATTGGGTCAAGGGCTACCCATGAGGAACAAATAACGCTTCTTTGTTGTGCTTTGTTCGCAAAGAAAATGCAAAACTTCTTACAACACAACTCAGTAGTTACAGTTTGATTGTTGAAATGGTTCCTTGGTTTGTTGAAACATCATCAGTTGGCTGGTTTGGGTTGGTTGTTTCGGACGTGTCACCTCATGTGGGGCGCAACAAGTCAACGGCATTTTAAAGAATGCTCTGTGGTAAATCCTCTTCATAGAGACAATGTCAGCCAAGGATGGAATGACCACGCATCATTTCTAAACAGGGTTCACGATTCACGAACGCGGCCAAAAGAACAAAAGGCATCTTTTCCAAAAAGCCGACTGGTTGCTGGCACATCCACATTACAAAAGGCTGTTTCATGAGAAGTCTGAAAGGTAAGGAACCGCAATTGCTTTCCAATGAGTTTTTTTGCTCATTCACGCATTTGTCCAGAATCAAAATATAGATTACATTCAATTACGCATGTTCAAGGTACCAACACTTCTTGCCTTAGTACAGCTTTGAAGGATGCTGCTGGACGATCGTCTGATTGCCCAGTCGAAAGACGGCGATAGAGTGGAAGGTCCTTCCTGCCATAAGGTTTCAAAAAACTAGACCACTTTCTGAGTGAAGGGAACCTGGACACCCACCTTACCTTCCCCTTGCAATGACCCCATCTTTCTATCAATCCAGCAGAGAATGCAAAAACACATTCCACAAATACATGCATCCACATCTTGTGTTTGGCCACAATTCTGTGCAGTATTAGCATGCGGATCATATTACACCAGCTTTCTATGGGCCTGCCTGAGCGTAGCAAAGCTACCCCTAGGCTTACCCCAGCCACACTCAACTGCAGCCAGCATCACGGCGTCCTCAGGCCATTCGAATGCAGCAGCCTCCTCTCCATCCGGCGCGCCCGATCTGCGTGATGCCCCCGAGAACTCGTGGCGCAGGGCCAGGAGGGCCTCCAGAGTTAGAGCGCCAATGAGCAGAAGGAGGAACAGCAAGGTGCTGCAAAGGCCATCCTCAGCGCATCGCGCAGCAAAGGGGGCCAACAGTGCAATTTTCAATGGGGAGTTGTTCAGCCCTCTATCCTTGCTTTGCGCGCAAAGCAGGCTTGTTCACGGGGTTCCCTAAAAGAAAAGGGAACCGCGGCCATTCCCACAAGTATGGATGCAGCTGAGGCCGTTGGACTGTACATTTTGCGAATTCGCTTTGCTGGATTCTTTCAAACACCCTCAAGGCAGGGAAGCCTTGTATAGTTATATATGTATATATTATTATATATAATAAACTACTTACTTGCAGCCGGTCAAAACCACAACCCTTGGACCATGGAGATGAAAATCATCATGCTCGTGTGAGAAAAGCCTTTTTTGCAAGCGTGTTGCTGGTGAGTGGGATCATTGGTGGTGTGGTGTCACATGTTTGCAGCCAGTCTGTGGCGCACGGAGCGGCGAAATTACGTTCGTCTACTTTATCTTGGCATTGGCACCATTGTGATCATCATCACTATTGTCACCGTCATCTTCATAGTCATCATCAACATCATCTTCGCTACAACCTTCGTCCTCATCGTTGCCTTCGAACAACTCCTACTGTGCTTTCGGGCCACCCACTCCTTCATCTATAAATGTTTCTTGGGCTGGCTGGGTTGTTCAGCTTGGTCGCTTAATACGTCTCTGTTTGATTCCATTTTGGCTTGGTTGGCTTGCTGGCCAGGCCCTGGGCGGAGGCTGAGATGGGCTTCCCTGATAGCAAGTCATGGTGAATGGAAATCGATGGCAGGTCCCTCCTGGTAGGTTTATCTTAGGTATGAACTATCGGTATACAGTAACTCAGTTTTTGTGCACCTGGCACACCGGGTCACTGTGGCGGTCTGCGCCGCGTTTGCGCCATCACGTTTCCCTTCCCCCAGTGGCCACACACAAATGCGTTTTCCAACAAGGCCGCACCGATCCGCATGGCACCGATCCACCATCACGGACGGTTTTTCTCCGCGCCGCGTGTCACAGACTATAGATGTAAACAAGTGAAACCACACCACCAATCGTCCCGCTCACAGCGACAAGCCACATTTTGGAATCAAATCTAAAGCAGTGGAATCGCAGGAGGCATCGAAGGACTTTCTGAGAACACACCGACACACCGCGGCAAAATAAGGCAGTTTACACATTCCTGCACGAGTGGCGAGCAGCGTTTGCCCACAAGAGCACGATGACCCTTCATCTCCAAGAGCCATGGTTTTGCTCGACTACAAAGTATATTTAAGGGTTTCCATGTCCAAGGCGGAAAGAATCCAGCAAAGCCACCTCGGAACCTGTACCAGTCCCGGCTTTAGCTGCGTCCATGGAAAAAAGAAAGAACCGTGGGCCTCTTGATGTGAACATCACGGCAATCGAAAACCCGGCTGATCGCATCGGTCGACTGATGTTGTGCGGGGTTCTAATACCAAGGCCATACGGCAATTGGCCCATGGGTTCGACCACACCACCTGGTCCCAAAAGTCTGAGAAGTTGCTAAAACCGAACCAGGTCGACATCTCTGGTAACCTGGTAGTCTCTGGTAAGCAAAGTCTTGATGTCTAGTGTTGAAATCTGTTTGGCGCCCTTTCCTTCACCCCAGGTGCAAGACACCTCTGGACAGGATGAGCTTCGGAAACCCAACAAAACACTTATCATCCATATGAATTACATGTCACCAGCCTATAGGTAAGAGTAATTCAACCACCTGAAACAAGGCTTCACAGTGCTGGCTACAAAATCTCGCGGCCCATTCTTGTCTCGATCCCGGTGCTTGCTGTTCTTCGACAGAATCCATGCATGTATCCCAGAATTGGTTTAAGGATGTTTAAGGGAACATCTACAGGAAAACTGTAGGTTTGGGGGTGAAGACATGGGTTTCTGCAGATGTTCCCGGAAATCAATTAATGTAGGGCCGAGAATGAATGGCTCTGGGACGACCAAGTATACCAAGTGAGCCGAGATGAGCCGAGCAACCAAGATGGAGGGCTCTGGGCAGCGACGCTCCAAATTCAGTTGCGCCTCAGTCCTCAGTTCGGTGCTGGAAAGACATCCATTTTTGGAAACATGACTAGGACTAGGACCTAGGAACTTACTACCAAGGTGCCTAGTCATGCAACTACTGTATTAAAAACAAATACAACAGGCCTCAACTACTATCTTGCTGCAACAAATTACGCAGCCATATGGGTTGGCCCATGGTTTAGCCGATCGTGGCAAAAGCATTCTCGTTGACTTACTTGAGGGTCAACCATCAAAGTATGTTGACCTTCAGTTTGCCTCCTCCTCGTCACAATTACAACCACCACTCCTATTTCCTCGGTTCCCAAACAGTGTGCCAAGTCGATCCAGGTCGGGTCATGCTGAACCCAGTGGCCCTACTACTACAAGCAATTAAGCAACGAATCACGCCAGTTGAACAGTTCTGTAGGTTCTAGAGGATGACTTTTCTGCTTTTGTTGGAACTTCACCAGGTCTACAAAGTACGTAGTCTTGCGATCCACTCATCATCGCGTTTTGCAGGTTTGTGTAGAGGATTCTTTTGCAATATATACCAACTATACAGCTTTCCTCTGGGCCAATTATGTAATATTTATCCTTTTGCCCCATCCTATATAAACTCCTTAAAGCGGCCTAAAACAACAAACTTCCGCAATTGCGCAATTGCGGTGTCACTGAACCCATTTGGCAAAATACCTCGAGCACTCCGACCGAGATCCATCCATCCGTCCGGGCTTCAATCTGAGACCCATCGTCTTCGGCAACAGGGCGCCGAAGCGCTCCAGGACCTGATGATTTCGCACGACGGTGACGGCGCTAGTGGTTGAGACGAAAGCATTGGGGCAACCTCGTCGGTAGTGTTTGGTCACATCGGATCAGGAACCTCTCCCAATGCTGGGAAACCCTCCAATTTGGATCGAGAAAGCCAGATGTGTTCATTGTCTGTCAACATGGGTCTACAAACCTCCGATTTTTTCAACCTGTTTGTCTACAAGAAAGTTCGAAACAGGCCGAGCCCCTCATTCCCGCCAAGCCACACTCGAGTGTGTTTCGTGGCCGGTCAGCTGACAAACCTCAGTGCTGGGAGGTCCAAACTGTCCCGGAAGTTGACAAGTTGAACTTCTCTCCAAAGATTTCAAAAGCATAGTGGGATTGGTTCCCTGCCTAGCTAATATAGGCTCTAAATAGGACTATATAGATTGTCAAATGAACTCTTGCAATGGATTCAAGAACCCACAAGAAAGAATCCTTAGATTGCAGTCTCTGACTAGATCTTTCCAGAAACTCGCCATGGCACACATTCCTTGGAAACGTCATCGTCGATTCGGCACAGCCACGCGCGGTGCTTGCCCAGCCAGCGGAGCCTGGGCGAACATGGCATGGGCCAAGAAACGTGGGCCAAGAAGAGTTGGAATCGTTTTGTTGTCCAAGAGTTGGAATTGCGTCTGTTCAAACATCCAAATGTTGTCTCTGTCTTTGGCAGGTTCTGTGTGGAAATGTGTGGAAAGATTTGGAGGCTTACTTTGCGGAAGTTCTTAAGGAATGTTGAAGTTGGGGATTCCGAAATGTGAAACACCGTCAAAAACCCAAAACACGTCACCCGTCACCCGGTCCAGCCCCAACAAACTCCGCCCACCCATGAGACTGATCTGCTGCACAAACAAGCAGCTGGCCAGCAGCATCTCACCCTCAAACGATTGCGTCTGTATCTTAACATGTTTGTGAACCCCAAGCCACATTCTACATCTCTGCAATGGCTCTTGCAGCCACATTCCTTCGGCTCTTCAGCAAATGGCACGGTTGTTCTGAGTCATTCATTCTGCTCAGGAGCTGCACCTCCAATATGGGATCCACGTAGATTTCCAGCCGCGACATATTCAGCGGATCCAGGGCATCCACATAGGGAACCAGTGTGGCGTTGCAAAGGTCGAGGTCTTTGGAACACAAGGCCTGGCTCCAGAGTTCGAGGCTTGGCTCGGCTTTCTTCCCTTGTGTTCGACTCATCATCTCAACTCCGGGTTCTACGCTGTTCGTTTGGAGGGTTTGGAGAATGGCCTTTGGTTAGGTCGAAATATGTTTTGTCCGTTTGCTGGGCCGTTCAACAAAAGGAGCTGTGGCCGGGACATAGTACCCCACCATGGGTTTTGGACCCTTGGATCTGAGGTGTTTTCAGTGCTTGATAGTCTACTTTGGAAACCTTCCCGGGGTATCTTGTAAACATGCCAATCTGGCCAATCTGGGCCCGCAAACCAGATTGTCATCATGGCATCGACCAAGAAACGGCCAGAGTCGGGAAGTATGGAGTTGGTCTTGGATTTCAAGACTGGGTTGTGAGTTGGGCAATAATGATGACTACTGATTGTGAGAATCATGGATATTGCTTCTCAAAGGCAGCAACATTTCAACACTGGATTTGGAAGATCAAGGTGCTTTTCCAATCTTTTTGCTGTCGATGGAAACAAGCGGGACATACCTTTCTCAGGACTGTCGTGCGGTTGTGGTGGTGTTTGGCTGTGCAGGAGCCAACCTGTCAAAACACAACTATAGATGCACGGTTCTGTAAACTATATTACTATGATGCCAATATATGCCAATCCTGGAAAACAATCTGACACCTAAGAACTTCCAACAATACAAGTGTCCTTGACTCACAAGTATGTCTTCCCCCTTTGGTCTCCAACCATTCCATCGATGCGCCGCCAACGCCTCGATGTCCTCATGATCGCTGCGCACCACGTAGCGCGTCGCCGAGCGACCGTCCTCCGCGGTCACCGCTCTGAGTCGGTCGGGTGCGACGAAGATGCTCTGCAGCGACGGGTGCGGCTTGCGGCACAGTTGGTCACAGGGGCCACAGCCGGGTTCCTGAGACGTGGGTGGGGAGCGCGGACTAACGCAAAGAGCGTGCCAATAGAACAAAAGGGTTTTAGTGTCCACAGCTGTCCCTTAGTTATGCGCAGAATTAGCTTGTTCTTCTAGTCAACCTCCTTTTGCTCCGCTTCCCGATCAGAATCTCTTGACCCTGTGTTAGAATATGCCAAGATGACGTGGCTGCCGTGGTTGAGCTTGGTTTTTGCCGTTCAAGGCATCACAAATTGAATCATCATACGCCTCTTACAGCCGACATACAAACGCCCTCAAATCGTTTTGGGATGGTTTGATGTCAAGTATATATATTATACATTGTATAGTTTTGTTTCCTATTCTATGGGAAGACTAAAATGTCCAGTCGTCTCTGTTCATGTCTCCCCTAGTCACAAAATCTTGTCGCTGTTGTTTCCAGATTGGTGTCTCCCTGTTCATATCTTCCAGATTCGTGTTTGTCTCCCACTCTACGGCGGTTGCCAAGAGCGTATCCCTTTGCACCTTGGAACATGAACATGCTGTTCCTTTTGATTAAAGTATCTTCCCCCTATGTTCCTCCAAGCCCAGCGTCCGCAATGCCCAGGTCATCGTGCACGCGCACGGCGGAGACGAAGTACGGAAAGCTAAGGATATGAAGCGCCAGCCAAGTGGAGTGCCATTGCATTTCACATAAAACAAGTAGTCTCTGAGAGGCACCCGAAAGCCCGAAGACTTCGAGCAGGCTTCAATCTGAGCCATGCGGAGCCATGCGGAGCCACGTTCATGGGAAAGGGTCCTTCTGTCCGAGTCCACTTGCACTAAACTGTACTCATAGCTGCCCAGAAACTATTTGACACCAAATTTAATCGGTTTTTATACGAACAAACATGAAAAGAGAGACCTTCTAAATTGGTGTCGCTCATGTTCTCACTACATGATATAATGATATATTCAAATTCTGTCGGATCTCTGTCCCAACAAACAAAGGTCCGGCCTAATACTGATTTTTGTCACTGAAATGACTTGGCAACACCTGTGACAACGTGTGACAGTACCGAACATGGTCAGCAAAATTGCTTATTTTGACTTCTGCATTTACTGCATGGGAATAGGCCTGGGTTCTTCAGTAGGGAGATTCTTTGGATACTGTAGCATGAAACCCCTACTTTGTTGTGCAGTGAACGTATGTGATCCTCATCCCGTTGAAGATGATCAAACACAAATGCAACAATCAGTGTTCCCAATTTATCCTCCTCTTTGATCTCACAGTAGTATCTGCCCCAACCCCCAAACGTCCCAAACCAAGATCCACCATGATCCACCAGCTAACCAGTACGAGCAGCCAAGTGAAACGACGACAACAACCCCCGACAGCTTTCCCCACAGCCCACATGACACACATGACTCGGACATCTTCTGATTTCCAAAACACCACCAAAGGCTTCCCGAAACCCGCGAAAGATAACTCAGGTGACCCTTCCACCTTCCCCCGGTGTCACGAGAACCACCTTCCAGCCCCGTCAGGGCCCAGTGACGTAAAAAATGGTGGCTGTCCAACGGATGGCGCGACACGGATGAGGGTTGTGAAGAACTCATTCGGTTGTTGGCGCACAGCTAGACTGAGTGAACATCCGGTGGACCACTGCAGGTCTTCAATCCTTCAGCAGAAAACTGGATTTGAGATGCGTTGATGAACAAATCCTGACCAACTTGATATGCATTTGAGATGACCTTTGGTGACAAGGTCTTCCCTCTTCCCATGCGTGGTACAGAACTTGGCCCATTGTAATCGCAAATTCACAGCGGGCACGTAGTTTCTGCTCCTCCATTTACCAAGTAATGGCATCCATTGGCTGCGGTCATTGGCATTGTTACCATTGTTCGAGCCATGAGCTGATCCACGATGCTGAAGCTTGGTCATCAACTCGCTGGAATGGCGTGAATGCAAGGACCCAGGTCACCCCAGATTCGGGTCAGTATTCGCTTCGCGTTCGCTCATTCTGATAAAGTCTGAGCAACAGTCCCACAAACTGGGATCACACATATAATTATATATAGTTTAAAACAGGCAAAACCCAAACGTTCCTGCTTGTGTTTAGTGGTTTGGCGGACCAACAAATCAGTTCATCTATGTTCCTCTAAAGCAAGAACCATCTGCTTCTGCTGTTGGTGACCTTGCATCTTGAGAAGGAAGGTTTCCGCAACAGAAGAACTTTGGAGAGTTTAGTAAACTCAACTTGTGGTCTCAAAAGCACTCCGGCCTCGACTCCAAAAATCACCCCTCCAAACTCATCATCACCTGCTTCTCCTGCCCAACACCCACGCCCTCCTCCCTCTCTCTCTCTCTCGTCCTGCTCCTCGCGTGGGACACCAATCCCCACATTCGCCACCTGTCAAGTGAGCGCATGCAGCGCAAGCAGCTGCTGGGCTGTTTGGGCGGAGCATGACCCGGTGGACAGATTGGCAGGTCTGAACTCTTCATGATGTCAAGTGCAGTTGCGAGCGGTAAGGGAACATCACTTGCTTTATATAAAGACATTCCCCAGACTTGTTGCTGATCGACCTTGGGGAAGCACAAGCAAGCTGCAACTTGCAGGTCATTGTCCAATTCACCAACTCAGGTCCAACGGCGGGAAACAAATACATCATATACATCTGTCTACATCATAATCGTTGTGTACAAACAGGACTGGATGAAGAACCCTACAAGTAGAGGGTGGAGAAAACAAAGGCAACCGCTTAGCAGGAAGAGCCTCCCTGCGCACTTCTCTCAGCTGTGAGATGGAGGAGTGACTAGCCGCGAATTCCCACCGTCTCTTCAAAACGAACTGCACGAGTCTTGTCGTTGGGAGGTTGCATCAAGAGATGGATGGATGGTGTTTCTTAAATGGTCTGTCACTTCGAGGTCTCCAAAGTACCCATTTTGCTGCAGGGTTCTGGTCTGTGGGTGCATCACCATTGGCTTTAAAATGCTTTAGATGGTTTAGGTCTAGATTGATGTTTTCTTAGAGGTGTTTTGGGTCTCCCAACTTTGTCAAAGAACTCCATTTGATCAAGATCAGATCATATCAGGTCTGCATGCCACGCGGCCGCTGTTCTTGATCAGGCTCTGGCTGGAACAAGTCCATCAAATGTTTGTTACAGAAGACATGCCCAACTGCTTGAGGGTCCTGCCAACTGCTTCACAGTCAACTCTCTAACTTCGGAGAGTAGTCTGGAGCATTCCTTCTCCAATTCCTCCACCCTTCTCCCCACCCAGTCTCTTCAATTGAGAACTCCCCCTGAGTTGTGCCACAGAGTCCTCCACTTGCGCATGAAGCTCTCGCGCATGTTGAAGATTGTCCAGGGCCTCCCCAGTGATGATCGGACCATCTTCACAGGGTTCCGCAGTGATAGGTTCTTTCGAAAGTAACTGGACATGACCGGGGCACATGACACACCGAGCACTGCCCTGCACCAAGCCGGAAAGGAAACGATCCACGGCATTGGCATTGACCGCTTATTGGATTGTTTTGGGTGTTGGATGCGTTTCTTGGGCTTTTATCGTAAAGACAATACACTAGGTTCAACATGATCTCGACCGGAAGAGAGATCATCGCCACAGGACCTCAGCAACCCGTTCCACGTGTCTGGATGATTGTGACCACAATCTTTTCCATGGTGAGACCACTGGGGTTGGAAGCGCCATTGAGTTCATCCACGTTCCAGTTTAGACTGCGCATGTTGCCATGGTTCGGGGATGTTGGTAGCCCTACTTCTGGGGAGTTAACTATGAACGACTATGAAATACTATGAACTGACCAATATGTTAGGAGATATTAGGAGAACATGTATTGGACGTTGTTTCTACCTATTTGGGTGACCGTGGTGGAGCATGTGTTAGAGGTGCACGATTGCGTATTGTTGATGGATGACTGAGTTCTGGAGTGCACCACTGTATTAGAAGGAGAGAAACGGTGTGAGGTGTGAGATACCCATCAAATTCTGACAAAGATGTTCAAACCAACATGGAAAGGCGGCTTTCACTTCTCGGGGCAGAGATCGCATGCTTGCAGGTTATAAAATTATGATAAATTTTGTCAGTCTCAGGCCATTTGGATTCCTAGCCATGCGCTTGGCCCCCTATTCTCAAATAGACACATTGAAGATCATTTAAGCACAGCCAAATAGCACTCATCTAGGTCATGGTCATGCAGCCAGTGGGTTGAGGGATGAACCCGGGATTGATCAAATTACACTAATTGGCTTGCGTAATAAGTCTTAATTAGTGGTGATGAAGGAAGGTGGCAAGAGAAGTGAAACAAGTGAGGGGCAGTTGCAGCATGACTTTCCCGTCTTGTACCAGGGGGTCTTTCAGCATGCTCGCGCTCTCTCTCTCTCTCTCTCTCTCTGTGGGTGTGTATATGTCACTAGATGAAGCTTGCCTGCCGCACAAGGCAAACACTGAAGATAAAAATAATGATGCCGATGCTTCAATCCGCTGTACTTACAGTTCCCTTTCATTGCAAACCCCATTCCACAACCAATGCGATGCCGTACTGGACCGGCTTTGTCTTTGGTGCATTTTGGAGAGACTTCTGCACTTGCAGAGGCTCAAAGGCGGAACACCACACACCCACAACAAAACCTAAACGCGTGAGAGAAACTGAATCGTTAATTTAACATGCCACAGGCCAACGAAGCCTCGTCAGGCTGCACAGGTCTAAGACCTCCCAGAGTAGCAAACACAATGCTGAGAAAATGCAAGCCAGAAAGCAAGCCAACTAGCCGCAAGCAAGTGTCCAACAGCCCTCGGGACACAAGACACACGCTAAAACATGCTGGAACATGCTGGGGAAAAAAGAACTCCGATTCAGTCATCTATCTTCACAGTTCCTTTTCATCGCATATGGCATTGAATAAGACACATGCAATGCCATACTGGACCGTTCTGGTCTTCCGTGCATTTTGGAGAGACCTCTGCCATATTTGCAGAGGCTCGAAGACG